TGTTGTTGTTGTTGTTGTTGTTGTTGTTGTTGTTGTTGTTGTTGTTGTTGTTGTTGTTGTTGTTGTTGTTGTTGTTGTTGTTGTTGTTGTTGTTGTTGTTGTTGTTGTTGTTGTTGTTGTTGTTGTTGTTGTTGTTGCAGCATCGTCTTTCAAGAGATCCCACCCAACGTCGCCGATGGCCACGATGTGTTTGAGATTGAAACCGTGGACGGCCAACTTGTCATCCGCGGCAATACGGCCGTCGCCATGTCCTCGGGATTGTACTGGTACCTGCGGTACTACTGTAACTCCCAGGTCACATGGGGTATGTGACGCATGATTGCCCACTGCCAAACCAAAGATGCATGTCAGCGTGCTTCAAGAGCCTGCTCCCGCGCTATCTGTAACCTGCTCGCTGTCATGTCAAACAATGCACGAGTGCAGTTGCATACGCTCATCACATCGCATCGCACTGCCGCCTCGACTTTTTTTTTTTTTTCGTGTGTGCGCTCCAGGGGTGAACGACTCTGGTCGTCAAATCAATGTCTCTGCGCAGCTCCCTGTTGTCAAGCCGATGGTTCGGAAGGTCAACCAAGTCCGCTTCCGCTACTACATGAACGTGTGCACTGTCAGCTACTCCATGGCGGTACGTGCAACACCAGACATGCACACACATCTAATTTTCAGATTCTTCCCCTTGTTTGCTGTTGTTGTTGTGGGTCATGGTTTGGATGGCGCCAACTATGACGGCCGTCTTACGTCCTTGCCGGTTTGCTCCAGTGGTGGAACTGGACCAGATGGGAGAAAGAGTTGGATTGGATGGCGCTCCACGGCGTCAACCTTCCCCTCGCCTTCACAGGTGACCGTGTGTGTGTTATGTGTGTGTGTGTGTGTGTGTGTGTGTGTGTGTATGTGTTATGTGTGTGTGTGTTCCGTGTGTTATGTGTGTGTGAAAATGGCCTTGCACGCACCCATGCATGCCTCGCTGTACCATTAACGCAGCAACGTACACCACCGGCCACTCCCAATTTGCATGCAAACAACAGGCCAGGAGTACATCTGGTACGAGTTCTACTCGTCGCTCGGGCTGACGGACAGCGAGATCTTGGACTACTTCACGGGTCCGGCCTTCCTTGCCTGGCAGCGCATGGGCAACCTCAAGGTGAATTGCTGGTGTCGATGTGATTTGCGAGGCGGCAACTGACTCCCATGTGCCCTACGTCCTTGCCGCTTTGTTTTCCCAACACGCTAACGTCGGTTGATGCGATGAATGCACATTGTCTGTTCACAACCACATGCGCTCGCATTGATCATCACCCACACCACGCGACACATGTACACACATACACACACACGCATACACACCACAACCACCACCAGTACTGGGCGGCACCGCTGGACAAGGACTGGCGCACCTCCCAATACAACCTGCAGCTGAAGATCCTCTCGCGCGCCCGCGAGCTGGGCATGGTCAGCGCGCTCCCCGGGTTTGCCGGCCACGTCCCTACCGCGATCAAGCGCATCTTCCCGCACGCCAACCTGACGCAGACGGCGGGGTGGGCTAATTTCAACAGCACGTACTCGGACGTGTCGCTGCTGCAGCCAACAGACCCGCTGTTTCTCCAGCTCGGCACCAAGTTCTACAAGATGCTCATCAAGGCGTTTGGCACCGACCACGTGTTTCAGATGGACACGTACAATGAAATGCAGCCCAGCTTCACCAACATGACGCTGCTTGCGGAGAGCAACCGTGTTGTGTATCAGGCCATGGCAAACGCCGACCCAGAGGCCGTCTACCTCATGCAGGGCTGGCTCTTCCACGAAAGTGAGCTTGTGTGTGTGTGTGTGTGTGTGTGTGTGTGTGTGTGTGTGTGTGTGTGTGTGTGTGTGTGCATCTACGTGCATTTTTGTGTTTGTGTTGGTTCATGTGTGCGTGTGTGTAGTTTTGTGATGCCTCTGCACCTTCTCCAAGCATGCTCTCCACATTCGCCCGCCCAAACAACTGCTGCCCCCCCCCCCCCACACACACACACGCGCGCGCACACACACACACCGCCCCTCCTTTGCTCAAACTGTGCAACCCCAACACGCGCTTGCCCGCATGTGTGCACAGGCTACTGGACGCCCGAGCACGTGAAGGTGTACCTGTCTGGGGTGCCTGACGACAAGATGATCATCCTCGACCTCAACACAGAGGCCAACCCCGTCTTCTCCCTCACCAGCGACTACTTTGGCAAGCTGTGGATCTGGAACATGCTGCTCAACTATGGCGGCCGTCGTGGGCTGTACGGCAACGCAACAGACATCTCCACGCGCCCGCTGCTTGACCTGCACCGCGCACAGGGCACGATGGACGGCATTGGCATCACGCCAGAGGCCATCGAGAACAACCCGGTCATGTTTGAGCTGATGCTGGAGATGGGGTGGCACGCCACGCCCCCAGACATGCACGACTGGATTGCTGCGTACGCGTCATCGCGCTACGGCAAGCGCGAGTCCCTGACGCAATCAGCGTGGCAGCTGCTGCTGGAGCACGTGTACGACCAGCCGGACATTGATCGCTTCCACATGGAGATGGTGCCCGACCTGTCCTCTTCCGAGTCGCGCAACAGCAACACCACCGCCCTGGTGCAGGCCTGGCGCCTGCTGGTCACCGCCGCCGTGAACGGCTCCCTGCCCATCACAGGGCCCTTCTCGTACGACCTTGTGGACGTTGGTCGCCAGGCCCTGCTCAACCTGTGGTCGGACGTACGCGGCATGCTCGTGGCGCATGTCAAGGAGTACAACGCCAACATCGACAGCAGCCCAAGCACCGCCGCCTCGCATGTACCGGCAATCAAATCGCTCTTCACCCTGCTGCTGGACATTACGTCCGATCTGGACAGGTTGCTTGGCACGGACGTGAACTATCTGCTTGGCGTGTGGTTGGAGTCTGCAAAGGCAACAGCCGCCAACGCCGACGAGCGGGCGACGCGCGAGTTCAACGCGCGCAACCAAATCACGCTTTGGGGCCCCGACGGCGAGATCACAGACTACGCCGCAAAACAGTGGCAGGGACTTGGTGCGTGTGTGCCTGTGCCTGTGCCTGTGTGTGCGTGTGCGTGTGCTTGTGTGTGTGTGTGTGTGTGTGTCTGTGTGTGTCTGTCTGTCTGTCTGTCTGTCTGTGTGTGTGCTTGTGTGTGTTTGTGTGTGTTTGTGTGCGTATCTGCCTGTGCCCACGACATTTTGTTTGGGTTGTGTAGTTTTGCATCTGAAGTGCTCACACACTGTCTCTGCACATGTGTCTGCGCGCGTCATCAGTGTCGGACTATTATGTGAAGCGCTGGGAGATGATGCATGACGCAACATTGAGCGCGCTGAACTCCTCCACGAAGATCGACACAAGTGCTCCAAAGGACACACTCAAGTTTGAACAAGCCTGGGGCAACGAGAACAAGGTACTGACACAAGTCCACCGCATGCGTGTATGCATACGAGCACCACTGCGACGCAGATGCCTGACAATTTTGTTATCATGCTCTAATGCTCATATGTGCGTGTGCGTGTGTGTGTGTGCGTGTGTGCGTACGTGTGCGTGTGTGCGTGTGTGCGATTGGCTGTCTGTCCAGACGTACCCGACAGCGCCGCAAGCCGATGTGGTCAAGGTGTCGGCTGCAATGCTGCAGAAGTATGCATCATCGTCCTCAAACTACACGGTGCGTGTGCTTTGATTTGCGTGTGTGTGTGTGTGTTTTGTTTGAATGTGTTATTTGTATGTATGTGTGTGTTTCTTTGTATGCGTGTGTGCTGTGCGTGTGTGTGTGTGCGTGTGTGTGTGTGCTGTGCGTGTGTGCTGTGCGTGTGTGTGTGTGTTGTGCATGTTGTGAACTGGTGCGTACACTCATGATTTCTGTAACCTGTCATTGCACTGCAGGTTTCGACTGGGTTTGATGTTCCATTCAAGGACATTTACCAGGTGACCGCGCGCGTGCTTGCATCTTTGTTTGCATGCTTGAATGATGTTGAAGATGTACACTGCATCACATTGCTGCACATCGCATCACTGCCGCTCATACCACGCCACCCCAACCTGCAAAATAAAACAAAACATGCCCGTGGCTGCTCGCGTTCACCTGACAGGGATGGACACGTGATGTGGCCCAGCTGCAGATCCTTTGCGACGCCGACCCAACGTGTGTGGGCTTCAACTCGAACGGCTACCTCAAGAACTCTCTCACGCCATCCAAGTCGAGCCCGGGCACCAAGTTCTACATCAAGAACACGTGATGCGCACGTGCACGCAGCCAACTACCGCTGCTATCTCCACCACCACTCGCTTTATGTCGATTCTAACCCACTTGCCCACACCAACCCACTTTTGGTATTTTGTCTTGTGTCTGATCATTTCCATGTTGAGTTGCGGTTTCATTTCGTCTGTATTTGCTTCTGTCACCAGCCAAGCAGACACAGTAAAGGGAACCGTAACTGAGTCACCAAGTTCACTCAGATGACCAGTGCTTCCAAAACAAAACAACGAGCACTCACATCAGAGTTGATGACACAAACACGTGAGGATGATCGTCATTCAGCGCAAGACACTATCATGCCAGCGTCCATTGAAGCAATGGCCGTCTAAAAAGGAGGGGGCGGAAGTGTGTGGATGCAAACACACGACGGCCGTTTTATCTCCTGTTGCGCCTGCCTGCTTGCTTCTCTTGGTGCTCGTCGTCGTGTGCTCGTTGTGTGCATGTGCCTCTGCGTCCGTGAGCGTTGGCGCTTCTCCAAGCCGTAGCGTGTGGCGGAGCTGCGGCCATCTGGCAATGGCCAACACCCATCAGGTCATCTGCCATCAGTGAGTGCATCCGCCACCGGCAAGGGCGCGATGGCTGTGGCCTGCGCTACGCACACCCGTGCCTACAGAGCCCGAGCCCTGTACCCGATGGCGGGTGAGGAGGGCATGTTGCCTCGCGGGAATCGCGTGTCGCTGCTGCTACTTGGCTTCTTGGCGGTTATGTGGCATCCGCTGCCCATGCGCCGGGCGCGTAGAGGAAGCCAAACATGCCGTCAGCATCGCTGCCGGCGCCGCCACTGTTGCTGCCGTGCTGGCATCCGTAATGGAAGAAGTACTGCTGCTGCTCTTGCTGCTGCTGGTTGTGGAAGTCGCTGTACTCTGCGCTGTCGTACCCGTCAAACCAGCCGCAGTCACAGCTGCTGCTGCTGCCCTCGCCGCCATCCACGCAGTTGGCGCCATAGCAGGTGGTGAAGGGTGCGGAGAAGCAAAACTTGTCGGCGCCGTCGTCGTCATCGGCCGTAGCGGCAGAAATGCTGCTGCTGCCCAAGGTGTACGCCTCATCATGCAACCGCAGTCGTTCTTGTTGTTGTGGCTGCTGCTGTGGCAGCTGTTGCTCTTGCTGGTAGTGGCGTGTGTCCACTGGACAGCTGGCTTGGCCGGGCTCGCCGGCTGTGTCCATGCAGTCACTGGCAGACACGGTGGCTGTGGTGCAGGGCTGTGTGGTGTTGGCGGAGAGCGGGCCGCGCAGCAAGTACATGCTCTCCAGCCGTGCCTCGTTCCAGTCCGGCGAGCCAACGGCAAACACGTCGCCGCCCTCGTCCTCCCCCTCCTCCTCTTCCTCCTCCTCGTGCATCATCATGTCGTCCTCGCACTGGCTGCCAAGGTGGGTGTGGCGATCAAAGTAGCGCTGGCGCAAGCGGCGGCGCTGTTGGCGTTGGCGGCACGAGGTCGCGCTCGCAGCCATGACAGAGGAGGAAGTGGTGGTGGCGGTGCTGGTGCTGTCGTCGGTGCTATCGAAGACGTCGTCGCCAGCGTCTGGGGACGCGAGGTTGGAGAGGGTGGCGGCCTCAAAGAGGGCGTCCAGGCTGTCCGAGGTGTAGTGCTCCTCGGTTGTGTCCTCGTCGTTGTGCACGCTGTTGATGGCAGACACGGGGAGGGCCAGGTGCGCTGCGCAGGAGCCGCGGCGCTGGGCCAGGCTGGAGATGGGCCGTGGCTTGTTCAGCTGCAGGCGCGGCAGCTGTGGCGCAGACCTGGTCTTGGTCATGATTGGATGAGGCGCCTTCTTGGCGCTGCTGCCGGTGGTGGTGCTGTTGGTGTTGACGTTCGCGTGAGCGTTGGTGTCGGCGGCAGATGAGGGCATCATGGTGATCATCATCTTTGCTGTGCTGGCGCTGAGAATGCGATGCTGTTTTCCTCTTGTCGCTGTTGTTGGTGTTGTTGTTGTTGTTGTTGCTGCTGCTGCTGGCTGGCTGGCTGGCTGGTGGTGTGTTGTTTTGAGCCTGGCTTACTTCTTGTTGTGGTGGCGGTGGTGTTCTTGAGTTGAGTGGTGCTCTCGAGAACGTTGATTGATTTGCGCAATGATGATGATGATGATGATGATGATGCTGGGTTCCTTGCGTTCAGTGCAGCAAGTGCGGGTGCGGGGTGCGGGGTGCGGGCGCTTTCTTGCGAGGGATGCTTGTGAGAGCGGGTGGTGATGTTGAGGTTGATGGTGATCGCGGAGAAAATGAACACCATCATGCAGCAAGCATCAGCACATCACGGCGGGTGGCCCCCCAGGTTGCTGTTCGTGGTGCGGTGATGTTCTGGTGTTGTTGGGGCACGAGGAGGGGGCGGTGTGGTGACATTGTGGGGCCAGCTTGCGTGGTGGATGTTTGCTGTTTCGCTTTTGCTTCGTGGATGTGTTGGAGGGCGTTGGATGTGTTGGATGTGCTGCTGTGTTTTGTTGCAATGGCGTGTTGTGAGTTGACGTAAGGTCACACACACTCAATCAATCGATCAATCAATCGACACACGTGTGTGGGGGTGCTGTGTGGGTGCGGTGTTTGCTTTGCAGCAGCAGAAGAAACCAAACCAAAGCAACCGCAAAAGCAAAAAAGCTGGTTGCCTTTCTTCGCTTGACATGCGCCGTTTCAATGGAAGATGTGGCTAAACCTCAGCTGCATTGTGCAAGAAGGACAGTCACGACAAAGAAAGGAAACGAAACGCATCAGTCAGTGGGGACGACTTCTGCCTTTCTGCCTGCAATTGCATCTGCATGTGTGTGTGGTGCGATATGTTGCTTGTTCTGTGTTTGTTGCTCTTTGCTTGCATGCAGGCAGGCAGATTCACGTTTCAATGCTTCCCTTCTTGCTGCTGCTGCTGCTGGGGCGCAAAAGCAAGGCAAGGAAGCAAGGAGAGGGCAATCAAACTGCCGTTTCGGCGTTGCGTCAGTGCCGGCGTGCGTTTTCAGTGAACTGAAACAACACGTGGTGTTTGGTGTGTTGGTTTGCAGAAACAGCTGAAAACAGAGGCGAGAATCAAAACCTAGTCACAGTCGTTGTGATTGTGGTTCTGCTGTCTGTTCCTTCTATCTATTCTCCTAAGTTCCTACTTCGTGTCCTTGTTTGCAGCAGGTCAAACCCAATCCAACCAGGCGAAACACCGCGCCCGCCAAAGACAGCGTCGTGAGACGGCACCTGCCGCTTTGCTGCCGCTTTCGCCCAGTTGCCTCGCACAATCACAGCAAGTCAACGAACCAACACACTGTGTCGCGCGCACGTGTGTGTTGGTTGTGAGAAAAACTCCTGAACATCCGTGCTGTGCTGCGCTGCTGCCTTGCGTCGTGGCGTGTTTGGTGTTTGGTGTTTGAGGCTGCTGCTGCTTGCCTCATGGAAACCCCCAACGCACGATGAAGCACGATAGAGCAAGAGCCAGTGTTCGAGGCTGCAAGGGCTGCAAGAGGATGCTTATTCGGTTCCAGTCGGGTTGCCTTTGCCTTTTGTGTGTGCTGACATCCACATGTCAGCACAGCACAGCACAGCACAGCACAGCACAGCCAGAGCGTCAGCGCAGGAGAGAAGGAGAGAGTCAAGGTGAACCTGTGAACTGTGTGTGTCGTTACCTGCTGCCTTGCTGCCTGCTGCTGGTGCGTGCATTGTGGGTAGAGTGGGTAAGGTGGTTGCACTGGGTAGATGTCGGGGTGTGCTTCTTCAAACCTGTTCGAGCTAGGCTTTTGTTTTGTCTCTATATCTCTGTGTGTGATCACTCGGTTTCCTCCAGGTCTGATATCATCACATGTGCACATACAAAGGTACAAGCAAGGGTGCACGCAGCTGCCTGCCGTAATTCAGCCGAAAGCAAATGCTCGGCAAATAGAAAGCAAGCTCAAAGCTACGAAGTTGAACGAGAATTCGAAAATAAGGGATAACGACAGCACTGCAACAGAGCACTGGTCAACGTCTGAAGGGTAAAGCGAACCCCGTCTGAGGGAGAGGAAATCAAAGTAGGTATGACAGTAACAAAACGGCGATGCTAGTGTTTGAAGTGTCAACCGATTGAGCACACCAGCTACAGTGTGAAAATCATGATCCAGTGACACGGCTGCAGTTGTGGGCGATTGTTGGGTGCGCTAGTGGGTCAAAATTCTGCTTGAGCACGCGCGATGTTACAAAGGGGGCCAATCTCTGACATTCTAACAGACGGGCTACACGCAGGTAGAATGCTGGCCAAATTACACAGGCATGCGTTAAGTTGACATGTGAGCGAGCCGTGGATGGAATGAATGGCCAGATCAAATGTCATTCTTATCGGCGCCTTCCCCTTGTGTCTCCTGCGTCACAACACATGGTCATCCCACTAACCCTCACTCATCTTTTGCTTCAATGTGTGTGTGTGTGTGTATGTGTGCTGTTTGCGTACCTCATAGTCAAGCAGAGCAGCATCCAGCGCTGCAGGTGTTGGTAGTACAGGGAGTTGCTGCAGCAGGTCGTCGATGTCATCCAGCAATTCAGTTTTGAACGCTGGCGATCTTGCTGTTGCCAGGGCCGTAGTATCTGGCTGCGTGCCGATGCATTCGTCCAGCAACATCGACAGGAGGGATTCCTTGTAACCGTCGTGGTCGTCACAACAACTGGTAGCATACTCGAGTGAAGATCGTGTGCTGCTTGGACTGACCGGCACGAGAAATTGTGGCAAGATAGCGTCCAAGCACACAGTCGTAGCTGTTGTTGTTGATGATGATGATGATGATGATGATGATGATGATGATGATGATGATGATGATGATGATGATGATGATGATGATGATGATGATGGTGGTGGTGGTGGTGGTGGTGGTGGTGGTGGTAGCGGTGGTGGCGATGATGATGATGTACGTGAGCGCGTGGACGTCGGTGTCGACACGGCTAAGCTTTGCTTTGCCTTAACGTGACGAGATGGCGTGTACGCACTGCTGTCTTCGCTGTGTGGCCGCTTTGCTTCATGTTTGGTTCGCTTCTGATGCAGGACCAGAGGCATCACAAGCTCGGCTGCTGCAGGGGAGCACATGCACATGACAGCGATTGCCGTCGTGTCGTGAGTGCGATGGCGTATGGCATGGTGATGCATCGACAGCACGCAACAAGCCAACGTGATCGGCGCAACAGCCATTTAGCTTGCAGTGGACAGCAGCAGGTCAGAGCTGGTGGCAATGAAACTCACATGCAACGCGAAGCGCAGAACATAGCTCCTGAAACATCCCCGGCTGATACACGTCGTGTTCGATCTAACATATCCCGGTGCCATGACATCATGCACAGCACAAATCATGAGGTCTGCGGAGGAATCAATCACACAACCAACTATGCCGTGGTGTGCACCGTGGTGTGCTGGTGTGCATGGCTTGCATGTCGGCGAACTGCCTCCCCCCTCCCCCAAACACACACGCACGCGCGCACAATACATTCAATTTCACATGAAAAGGTAGAAAACAAACGCGCAAACCATACCACACATCGCTTGCATTCGCGCGTTCTTTCACCTTGAAACCAGCGAGGCGACTCTCTTGGACGAGGAGTTGAAAGAAGCGTTGCTCCTGGGTCGTCGGAACAAAGTAGTGATATGGGTTGATGCAAATGGATGCGAGGGCCCCATCCAAGCACGTCATTTTTGCTTGGCCATTGCCCCTGTGCATGAGTTGAATGATGTGAACCGTGTTGATTGTTCAGTTGAGTTGTGATGATGCAACCCTAAGCCTTGTCCACAAACAAACACGCCTGCACACAGACACACACAGATACACACACACATACATAGCAGAGCACAACAACGACTAATGAGCTGGAAACTGCATGCGTGTGCATCGTGCCAAGCACCTGATGCCTGCGTCGCAGCTTCCGAGCTTTCGCCAGGACCGGCGGAGCAGTTCATCTGTGATGGGGTACGATGTGCCGAGAAGGGTGCGGAAGAAGGCGTGCGTCGATACGCGGCGGGTGTTGCCCCCGACTGTTTGGTGAACGAACAGGGGAGGTTCAAAGGTGAAAGTGCACGTGAGCTGATTTGGTGTCGACGGAATCGGCCAATACAACTGCAGTGGGATTCAAGCAAGAGAAACATAGAAGCACAACATGTGTGCGTGCGCGTGTGTTTGTGTGCGACTGGGAGGGGAGGGGAGGGGAGGAGAGAGAGAGAGAGAGAGAGAGAGAGAGAGAGAGAGAGAGAGAGAGAGAGAGAGGTGTGTGTGTGTGTGTGTGTGTGTGTGTGTGTGTGTGTGTGTGTGTGTTGCGGCGTCGGGCATGCACAAGCGTGATATGGCAGTGTAATGACACCGGTACACGTTCCCGCGAACGCCATATTGAGGGTGCTGTGCGCGCGTGTTCCTAATTTCGACAAAAGGTGCAAGTACTGTCGTTCTCGTCTAGGTAGACTGCCCTCCTTCCCATACTCACTCGTGCTGGAGAAGAGGGCGGATGTGTGCGTGCAATAGTTCTTCGGGCACGTCCTACAGTGTCCGCGGCTGATGTCGGGGAAGACATGCGCGCCACTTGAGCAAACCCGCCAATTTCGGTGGAACATGGAAGCACATTGGGGTGAGACGGTGGGTAGGATGGAAGATGGAAGGCGCGAGCGGAACAAGCAAGGGGGGGGGGGAAGTTCGAGTGGGCAGGCCGATGGCACTTTCGATTGGGTTTCAATTGACACTACCATTCTCGGTTCGATCTCAGGTGAACACACACACACACACACACACACACACACACATACAACGTTGTCGGCGCGTTTTGCAGACACGCTGTTCACATGGCTTCAATACCTCAACACGTCTCACTCATAAGATCAAAGCACACAGGAGTGCACGAATCAAGTCAAGAGCCATTGAGCGAATGAATACCTTGTGGCGGCAAATTGGGTGAGTACTTCGTCCCAGGACGTGGCTTGGAGCGTACGAAGGCACCGCCGATCCCGGCCGAGACAGTCCTTGACCTGGGCCTGGTTGTTCGCACAGCCCACCACGCGCACTTGCGCCATCTTGCTTGGTGGGTGTGGCTCTTGAAAACCCTGGCTTCTTGGTCAATCGCGGCAACAAAGAGATGCAAGACAGAAAATTCTCTGTGTGACATTTGGTGTGAGGGTCTGGCTGCAATCATGTACATTGATCACAATGTGTTTTCTGCACAAGATTCCATGCCAGCGTAACGCAGTCAGCAACAGGACACTGAGCGAATAAGCGGGCAGTGCAACGATGACGATGAAGACGATCGAGAACAAGACGAGCAAGCTGTTGCGGATCAACCTGAACGAGGAGGATCGCCAGCCCATCGTGTTCTCACACTGCAAGGACTGCACCATCCATGTATGCAGAAGGAGGGGGGTGGAGGGCCGTCCAAGGCAGAAGGCTTCTCTTCCTTCCTTGCTAGCTTGTCTGTTTGGTAGTTGTCGTGCACCCGCGCTAGGTTCTCAGGTTGGTGAACGGCAGACTCGCACGTCATCGCACACGTGCAGACACTGGCTTGTGACTTGTTTTCTAACCTCGTCCTTTCCTCCTCCGCTGTTCTGCGTGCGGATGCCAGGTCCTGTTTGAGTTCACCACGGGCCCAAACATCACCAAAGAGTACGAAGAGTGGTGCAAGCTTCCAAAGGCCGAGAGGCCAATGCAGCAGATCATCTTCGACAGCTGTGAAGGCATGAAAGGTGTGTGGCATGTTGAAGCCGAGCTTGCTGCAGAGCACGAAGTAGACGCCTGTTGTGCACTTTTCCACGAGTGTGTACGCCCGTGCTTGCTTGTGCGGCGCCTTGGGCGCATGACAGGCTCCTACTGCTGCACTGCGCCGACTGCCTGATGTACATAGTGTTGTGTGCGCACATTTCACGTGCATTATTGTGTGTGCGCACGTCTCACCCATCTCCAACACCATCGCCCACACACGCACACAAACACACACACACACACACACACACACACACACACACACCACACCCACAAACAAACAAACACACACACCCACACACACCCACAAACAAACAAACACACACACACTTCCACTTGACCATGTGATTGTGTATGTGGCTTTGCTCACTCGCCATACACTCGGCAGTGAACGAGCACACATCAGTGGATACGCTGTTTGTGTTCAACGACTGCAAAAGCTGCACGTTTGTGAGCGAAACGTGCGACCAAGCCCTGGATTTGTATCGCTGTGTGGATATGGAGTGCAAAGCCATCCTGATTAAACAATTCAGGTGCGTATGATCTGAATAGACTCGCAGTGATGTGATACGCCACGCGTTGTTGGTGTCCACTTCATCGCTCTCATGCCATTACCTGACTCGCATTTCATTGTGTGGTTGTCTGATCTTGGACAGGCTGCTCCAGTGTCGAAATGTGGTGCTGGCCTGCAACAATGAGTGCGACATTGTCTCTCTGCACAATGAGACGGAGCCCGCCATCACACGCCGCTTCCATGTTGGCCGCACGGTTGCGTCTGTTGAGAGCTACAAGAAGGCAAAAGCAGCCCTCCACCTTGAGGGCTTTAAGACGGCAGATGACCAGCGATACGCGTGACGCATGCCTGCACCTTGTTCGTGTTTGTGTTCAAATATGTTGCTGTCGTGATGTGATACCCAGCATTCAGCGTTCCTGGAGTACGTGGTGCTGGAAGTATCGTCGCTCTCATTTCGTTTGCACCTGCAGGCCATGTGCGCTGGCACTTTCTGTCAGACAACCCACGCATGCACACCCTGATCTCACCATCATTACCCCCATAAACGTTCGCGTATTTAATGGCTGCCTTCACTTCACATTTGCATGTGGCACAGAGGGGGGCAGAGAGGGTGCATGTGTGTATGTGTGGTTGTGTGTGTTTGCGCGCGTGCGCGTGTGTGTGAATGTGTGTTTGTTTGTGTTTGTTTGTGTTTGTTTGTGTGAATGTGTGTGTGTGTGTGTGCGGGAGGTTGCAGTTACTGTGAGAAGCATGAAGCAGAGAGGTAAAGGAAAGGTAGCAGCAGTGCAACACGCCAGCTCGCTGATCAAAGTATATATGTGTGTGTGTGTGTGTGTGTGTGTGTGTGTGTGTGTGTGTGTGTGTGCACGCGCGTGGAAGCGAGGTCCAACGCAAAACGCAAAGGGGGAACGACGAGGGATAATGTCCAAGCTGCGAATCGGAGCTGGGCGCCGGCGTGTCCACGTGTCTTGTGCGTAATGCGCACGATCCTTTTAGCCGCGCTCACTGTTGTGTAGTTTCGCCAAATTGCTTGCCCATATCCAGAAGGACATACTTGAGCTCTTCGTACTCGGCCATGCCATACCTGGACCCTTCCCGCCCCATGCCAGACTCCTTCACGCCGCCAAAAGGCGCCACCTCCGTGCTGATGATGCCCGTGTTCACACCAACCATCCCATACTCAAGCAGCTGCACACACGTGGTCGTGTGTGTGTATGTGTGTGTGTGTGTGTGTGTGCGTGTGTGTGCGTGTGTGCGTGTGTGTGTGCGTGTGTTTGTGTGTGCGTGTGTGTATGTGTGTATGTGTATGTGTGTATGTGTATGTGTGTATGTGTATGTGTGTGTGGAAGGGGGTACGGATATGAGGTGAGAAATGAGGTGCAAGGGAAACGTGAAGTACTCAGAGTGACGAACGCAGAGGTAATGCACATAACACGCACGCACGCACATGCACGTGCCTCCAAGGAGGCAACGGGAGTGTTTGGCTCACCTCTGCAGTCTTCCAGATGCGGCGCAGATCTTGCGAGTAAAAGTACGCGACCAGGCCTTGGGGCAGCACACACACACACACACACACACACACACACACACACACACACACACACACACACACACACACACACACACACACACACACACACACACACACAAAGAAAGAACAAAGGTCGTGGTGATGGCGGTCGTGGTGAGCACGCATGTATGCGTTACAGAACCGATGTCACATGAACGAATGAATGACATGCAGACAGACAGACAGACACAGCATATTTCCACGGCAGTAGCAACAGCAGCAACAGCAGCAGCGGGAGTGTTGATGTACATACCTGCGTGTGTGCTGTTTGCCATGCGCACAATGTCGTCGTCTGACGTGAACTTGGAGACGGCGGCGATGGGGCCAAAGATCTCCTCACAGAAGAGCTGACGCCGATCGTGTGTGTGTGTATGTGTGTGTGTGTGTGTGTGTTGGGGGCAGAGTGGGGTGTAAATTGTCATGTGCAACCACGTGGATGTGTAAGTGTGTGTGTGTGTGCTGAACAGAACGCACAGGCACGCACGCAGGTACACACACACACACACACACACACACACACACACAGGCGCGCGCACACACAGGCGCACACACACACACACACACACACACACACACACACAGGCACATGCGCGACCAGGTGTACCTGTGACTGGGCCTTGACGTCTGCAACAAGTGTCGGGTAGAAGAAGTTGCCACCAAGCGGATGTTTCATCCCTCCAGCCAAAATCTGCACGACGCGCATTTGTGAACGTGGATGCGAACACGTGCGTATGCGTGTGTGTGCACACAGTCTACCACATGTGGTGATGGTGGGGTCACTCGAGCCAACGCATGCAAGCGACAACAATCATCGCCATGACCACCACCACTAGGGCGGTATGTGCACTTACGCGAGCGCCGTGTCGCTGGGCATCGATGACAAGACGCGTCACATTCCGCACCGCCGCCTCATTGATCAGCGGACCCTGACCGCACACACACGCACACACACACATGAGGTGGATGTGACGTGAGTGAGCATATGTCGACGGTCTCGGGCAATGTGTGTGTGTGTGTGTGAGCGAGCGAGCGAGAGAGAGAGAGAGAGAGAGAGAGAGAGAGAGAGAGAAGAGAGAGAGAGAGTGTGTGTGTGTGTGTGTGTGTGCAACAAAGCTAGAAAGACAGACACGCACACACACATACACGCACACACATACACACATACACACATACGCACATGTGCAAACGTACAATGGCGACGCCGTCTTTGAAGCCGTCACCGACAGGCAACTTCTCAATTTCCCGCTGAAATCACACACCAGCACACGCACGGCAGTGAACAGATGGCGAAGGGGGGGGGCAAACAGGTGACAGTAGGCAGAGCAGTTCAGACCGCACACACTGTGCCGAGGTGGGTGTTTGTTTGCGTTTGGATGCGAGTACGCATGGGAGATGGCGCGTGCAGGTGGACGCGGGGTCCGGACCTTGAGTTTCGTCATGAACTCGTCGTACACGCCGCTCTGCACGAAGAAGCGATTTGCACACACGCACGTCTGCCCGGCATTGCGGAACTGGCGTGACGAAGACACAAGCGAGGAAGGGACAGACGGAGGTGAGAGGGGTTATCGGAGGAGGGTGCAAGTGCGACATCACAAAGCAAGCCCAGTCAGTAAGGTCGCAAGAGCAAAGGAGCAAACAAAGCACTGCAACCAAATACTCTCAGCAACACAACGCATGCATACCATGCATGATCCACACAACCACATGCGCACACAACCACGCGAACACACGAGCACAAGATTACATGCGGTCTCTCAAGGACGCCACCTTGCTTGCAATGGCGCCGCTCACAGCCGCGTCGATGTCTGCATCGTCAAAGACAATGAACGGGGCGTTACCACCGAGCTCCATCGAAACGCGTTTGACGTTGTTGGCGGCCAGGCCAAGCAGCTGCTTGCCAACAGCGGTCGACCCCGTGAACGAGAGCTTGGACACCTTGGGGTTGGTGGCAAGCTCCTGAACGTGCGGAATTGGAGGGAGCAGATGAGATGGCGAGGGCGGTGAGGGTGTTTGGTTGTTGTGATGGTGAGTTGGTGCGTGGTAACGGTGGTGGCGAGGAGGGGGTCAATGTGATCTGTTGTTTTGATGTGATGGGATGGTGGCAAGCGATGGTATCACTGACATCTAGCGGAGTGCCAGACAGACACAGTCACGTACAACACCACGCACGCACATACGCGTGAACACACACACAGACACACACACACACACACACTCGCATACACACACGCATACACACACGCACGCACACACACACACACACACGCACACACACACACACACACACACACACACACACACACACACACACACACACACACACACACACACACACACGCCACCACATTCAGCAACTGACCTTGCCGACGGTTGGGCTTGTTTCGTGCGACGCGGTGATGACTGGGAGGACGTCCTCAGGAATGCCGGCCTGATACGCAAGCTCAGCCATCGCCTGCACACATGCACGTGAAAGGGGGGTTAAGGGGGGGGGGGCACGCGTGCATGCACATGAAGCACGAATGTGGGGCGTGAAGGCAATTGAGCGTGAGGATTGACTTCCAACGCGTTCTGCGCCATCACAACACACGTACACACACACACACACACACACACACACACACACACACACACACACACACACAAATGCAAGCACACACACACACACACAACCATGCACACAAATGCACAACCATGCACGCACCAGGGCAGTGAGCGGAGTCTCTGCGGAGGGCTTGACAATCATGGTGCAGCCTGCAGCCAGGGCGGCGCCGGCTTTGCGCGTGATCATGGCCAGCGGGAAGTTCCACGGCGTGATGCACGCTGCCTGCAGGCAATGTACGCCAGGGCGTGCGGAGCGTGGCGTGAGCAGGCGGATGGTGTCGAGTCTGAGCATCAAGCTATCCATGCTGCGAAGACTCAGCTTGTTAAGCCCATGAGTACGTGCACACACACGCACAAACACACACATGCACACACACACGTAATGCAAAGGAGAGCAAAACGAGCACACAAAGATGCGGTCGTATGTGGTGTGCGTGTGCGTGTGCGTGTGTGTTCCGGCTTACCACGCCGACGGGCTGCTTCCAGACCATGATGCGCTGGTTTGGAGCCATGGGAGGATGCACATCTCCATACGAGCGAATGGCTTCCTCCGCAAACCAATACACAAACGACGTGCCTGTAGGGACAGTGCATCCAAACACACACGCGCGCGCATGAATGTGAGTCGGAGAAGGTCGAGACAAACGGGAAGGCAAAGAGGCAGGGGAACCATGCACCTGACGTGAAAGCAGGAGCCCGAGACACGAGCATGCTGTGAAGTGAAGGTGATGTGGACGCCCAATTGATGCAGCAGGAATATGATGTGACACAGCTCCATCACTCACCATAAGTGACTTCTCCACGAGCCTCAGCGAGAGGCTTTCCCTGCTCCAGCGTCATGACCCCAGCGAGGTAATCTGTGTTTGTGGTATTGAGTGCAAAACACCGCAGATGCGTTTCATGTCATGTCACAGGTCACGATGACAATGTTGAATGCAGACGTGCATGCTTCGCGGACAGGGCTGGATAGACCATCCATACTCGCACACGCATGAACACTCACGTACGCGAGAACACACACACACACACACACACACACACACACACACACACACACACACACACACACACACCCATGAACACTCATACTCGCATGAACCGTAGGTGAACCGTTCATCTGACCTGTGTTGTGTGTGAGTAGATCAGCCCATTTGCGCAAGAGCTGGCTGCGCTCCCGCGCTGTCTTGTGTCGCCAGGAACTGAATGCATGCAAGGACCTGTCGATGATGTTGCGGGTCTGCTCCAGGCTTGAGTCTGGGACGTGGGCCAGGGACTCCTGTGTTGATGGGTTGAACACCGTGAAGGTGTGTGGCTGCGGCTCTGAGAACACAGTTGGATGCATCGAGGGCCTCAAACGAAAAGCAGGCTGCTGCTGTTGCTGTTGCTGTTGCTGTTGCTGTTGCTGCTGCTGTTGCTGTTGCTGTTGCTGTTGCTGTTGTTGTTGCTGTTGTTGTGCTTCTTTGTCTGTCACGTTGACTGTGCCAGAAGCCGTGTGGCTGTCGCTGTTGTTGTCGCTGTTGTTGTCGCTGTTGTTGTTGTTGTTGTCACTGTCACTGCCGCCTTGTTTGTGGGCGGTGCTTGCAGCGTGCAGTAGGCGTGCAGGGCGGCCAGCACACACCTTGTGGCTGGCTGCAACCCGCTGCAGCACCGCTCGAGCGGTCATCATCGTCATCATCATCTCGCAAGCAAGCAAGGGAAATGCATTTTATGCTGTCGAAATCCGCCTCTCTCAAACCAACCAATCCAACCAATCCACGTGCACAGCACAACAGCCAAGATGGCAGCGAGGGAGCTGAGGATATCGCTCACAACACAGCTCAGCAAGTGCGTATGATCCCGCATATAGGGAATGGCCAACCACCTGTGTGTGTGTGTGTGTGTGTGTTGGATTGTTGGATGTTCTTGGGTGGACTGCTAACTCACTTCTCACTTCTCACTTCTCACTTCTCACTTCTCACTTCTCACTTCTCACTTCTCACTTCTCACTTCATGCGTTCCACGCGCAGCTATGAGGTTGACGCTGGGACCCTGACTGTACCGGGCAGCGCCACCCGCGCACAGCTCAGCAAGCTCGTGAACGAGCTGCTTGACAGAGGTGACGAACGAACGGCTTGTACTCCGGTGTGCGTGTGTACATGTGCCTGTGGTGATGTGTGTGTGTGACATGACATGTCGAGCGAGAGAAGGAGAAGGAGAGAGAGTGTGTGCGTGTGTGTATGTGTGTGTGTGTGTGCGTGCGTTCGGTGCTTGCTGGTATCGCCACAGGACTGCGCCCACACTGCGCTACAGTCCGTGTACGGTGTTTCACTGTGGCCCATGTTTGGAGTCGCTGACCTTGTGTGTGTGTGTTGTGTTGATTTGAATCTTGTTGGGGTACAACAGAGAAGCCATTGCCGTTTGACTTTATCGTCAACGAGCAGTTCCTTCGCAGCACACTGGCAGACGTTGTCCAAGAGCACAACCTGCAAGCGGTGAGTTCCTCCCCCCCCCCTTGACCACCGTTGGGCCCACAGATACACAATTCATCATGCATGCACGGCATTGCGTGTTCGCACACACAATACAACTCGCATAGCCCATGACAGTTTCAGCTTCCACCCGGCAGTCGCTCACCTTGGCGTTCAATCGCATGCACACACTGTATCTCATGCACACGCTCACGCTTCCTTCCATACACACACGCACGATGTATTCTCTCTGCTGGCAGGAGGAAGAGCTGTCTGTGGAGTATGTGTTGGCGCTGCTGCCACCGCAGCCACAGGCCACGGCCAGCGAATGTTGCGGTGGCTGTTGCTTTTGCACTGGGCGAACACGCACACGAACGCGAACGCACGAGTGGTCTCTATCCCTCGTTTCTTTGCCACGTGGGCCCTTGGCCTCCACGCTGGTGCTGTGGTCCTGCTGTTGTGGTGGTGGTGGTGATGGGGTTGCTGGTAATGGTTCGTAATCCGTGCATCTGCTTGCTGTCCGCGCCTACGACGAACCGTGCAGGGCTCTGAGTCACTGGTTCCGATATTGTGTGTGTGTGTGTGTGTGTGTGTGTGTGTGTGTGTGTGTGTGTGTGTGTGTGTGTGTGTGTGTGTGTGTGTGTGTGTGTGTGTGTGGCGCACACATCCAGTGTCCACCACCACCACCACCACCAACACCACCACCACGGTTCACCATCCAAACTCGGAATCAAGCAATCAAGTGAAACCTTTTTTGGCGTGCTTCATGTGTGCGTTTGTGTGTTGCCGTTGTACGAGTGTTCCTGTCGACGGATCCAACCAAAGCAACCCTCTTCTTGTTGCAGCTAATGATGATGATGTTGATGTTTCATCGACCTCACACTCATTCACCCGTTCGCATCGCATCACCTCAAACTCACACACACACACACGCACGCACGCACCCCTTGCTGGTTCCTGCACGCCCTACGCTCCCCTTCGCAGCCTCCTTCCTTCCTTTCCTTCCTTTTCCTTCCTCCTCCTCTCCCCTTCTGAGCCATCAACGGCACGATGCAGGACGAGACGCGTGCATATGTGACGCTGGCACTCAATGAGAAGTATGTCATTGGCGCCCTTGTCCTCGCCCACTCCTTGCACCAAACGCGCACCAACAAGCGCCTTGTCTGCTTGGTGGGACCAGACATCACCGACGAGCGAAAGTACGTCGTGTGTGTGTTTGGTTGTGGATGTGTGTGTGTTTGGTTGCGGATGTGGACGTGTGTGTGTGTTGATGTGGATGTGGATGTGGATGTGTTTGAATGGTTCGTTCACTTGCTTGCTAGCGTGCCCTGCCCTGTGTCTGGCACGACTCTTGTCCTGCTGCGACGACTTGTTGTGTCTTGCACTGTCTGCTTATCAGTCAACTGGGATGAAACACCATCATCGTGCGCATGCCCCTTCCAACCAAACACAATCACACACACACACACACACGTGATGCCGTTGACTCATCTCCTCACCGCTGCGCTCCCCCCCCTGCTGCGCATACAGGATGCAGATGCTGGATGTCTTTGACGACGTGGTTGACGTGTCGCTGTACAGCAGCGGTGACGTTTCGCGCCTTGAACTGCTGCAGCGGCCGGAGCTCGGTGTCACCTTCACCAAGATCCAGGCCTGGCGCCTGGAGCGTTACGAGAAGTGCGTCTTCCTGGACGCTGACACCATCGTGCTGCAGAACATTGACGATCTGTTTGACCGGCCCGAATTCGCTGCTGCGCCCGACATTGGCTGGCCAGACTGCTTCAACTCTGGCGTCTTCGTCTTCAAGCCGTCGCACGAGACCTTCAGCGCGCTGTCAAAGCTAGCCAACGAGAAGGGCAGCTTCGATGGTACGCAACAGCGCACTCAAGCACACTCAAACACACTCAAACACACTCAATCACACGCAACAAGCACAAGCTATCCAACAACACAAGATACCACAAGCTATCCATACCACCCCCCCCCCACACACACACCACAATCTCACGATGCCCTGCGTTGCTGCTTCCTGCCCATATGACGTCACGACAGGCGGCGACCAAGGGCTGCTCAACCAGTACTTCTCAAGCTGGCGGACGCAGGGACCCGAGCATCGTCTCCCCTTTACCGACAACATGACCGCAAACGCCGCGTAAGTGCATGTACAATGCATGTGCGTTTGTTGCGGTGTGTTGTACGTGTGCTCTGTGCGTGTTGTGCGGTGTTTTGTGCTGTGCGTGCTGTATGGTGTCGCATGTTGTGTGTTGTGTGTCGCATGTTGCGTGTCGTGTGTTGTGTATCGTGTATCGTGTGCGACAGCTCTTGTCCCCGTGATGCTGGGATTTGCCTTCCTTCTCAAATCCTTTCTCATTCGTCTTGAAACTCACGTGTTCATGCACCCCTTGCATGCCCCGTCTCACACGTTGCGTCGCTTGTGCACACGTTACCAGTTACGGGTATGCGCCGGCCTTTGAGCGCTTCAGGGATCGCATTCGCGTCGTGCACTTCATCGGTGCACACAAGCCCTGGATGGGCGCGCCCCCGCAAAGTAAGTGCTGACGACTCAACACCAGCGCACGTATTGCATATGTGTGCTATTGCCCCACTTGCAAGTTGCCCATTTTATCGTCCTACGCACATACCCTTTCACACACACACACACACACACACACACACACACACACACACACACACACACACACACACACACACACACACACACACACACACACACCAACGCAGCGACGGCCCAGATGCATGGCATCCAGCAGCTGCACGACCTGTGGTGGAGCACGCATGACGACTTGCTCAAGCACTCCTCCGACTCGGCAATCTATCGCTACGCCATGGTCCGCGCGCGTGTGATGTGTGTGTGTGTGTGATGCATGTGGGTGTGCGTGTGCACCTGCATGTGCTGCTGGTACCCTGTTGATCTCTACCGCTTCATCGTCACTTCCTCCTATTCCATTGTCACTTGGCTAACGCAATCCACGCGTGTGTTTCTGTCGTGCAGGGCATCGTGCCACCCATCCATCCGAACGAGGACAGGTCGCGGTGGAAGCGCCACTACGCTTACCCGGAGCGCCACGACGACTACCAGCACTCCCGCTCAGCAGAGGAGGTACGCTTGTTTTGCCGCCGTGTCTGGCGGTTTGTTCTTGAGTTGTGTGGGTCTTGCTTGCGCTGCTCCACCAGCCCCGTGACTAGCTCGAAGCTAGCAGCGCCGTTGATGCAATTCACAACCCAACTAGCACGGCGACACACAGCAACTCACACCCACGCACATGCATGCATACATACATACATACATACACACACACACACACACACACACACACACACACACACACACAAACACACACTCTCTCTCACTCACCACACACACTCTCTCACTCACCACAAATACACATACATTCAAACACGCTTACAAACTCGCAGATTACGCGCCGCATTGCCGCGCTGTCGTCCCGCAAGCCGATTATGGGCTCGGCATCAGGCCCGCGTTTGCCGCGTAAGTTGTCGCAGTACGGCAAGGACGTCATGGCCCTGAGGGCGGAGCAGAAGAAGAGGGACGATGGCCACGACAGCCTGGACGACGAGGATGAGCGCTACTTCAAGCCCAGGCTCGGTGACGCCGCTGCGTCTGCCAACGGCAAGGACAAGAAGAAGAAGAAGAAGAAGGGCAAGAAGAGCAAGAGCTCCAAGGTCTGAGGACAGGTCTGCAAGCAAGGCGACACACACACACACCCACACACGTGTGCTGTCTCTTTTGGTTTTTTCCGTCTCTCTGCTCGACCACTTCCGATCTCCTATGGCCCTTCACACTGCCCTTCTGCGTTTGTTGTGTCTCCCCCCTCTCCACCCAAAAGCACATCATCTCTGCACTTCAGTTCCCGCTGCAGATGGTTGCGCTTTTGTCCTTTTCTTTGCACGCAGCCTTCCTGTCTTGTTTGCACATTCATGTTGCTGTGTATTGCCGTGGTCCTTTGCTTGTCTCGTTGTGATCTTCTTGCTTGCATGTGTGTGTGTGTGTGTGTGTGTGTGTGTCACATTTTGGTTCCACCCATCCACCTCCACCACCTGCTCTGCCCTTTTGCCAGCCCAGCTGTTGTTGGGCAATCGTGACGATTATTGAAAGATAACCATCAAATTTCGGTATCTGTCGTTGTTGCGAGAACGGCGAGCCAGCCAGTTGTCGCACAAAGCACCACACCACATCAGCACACCCTGCACCGTGTCGGTGTTGACCGCGCCGCTTGGCTGGGTATCTTCAACCGACCAACGAAGCAACCGTGCAAACAGACCGCTTGCTGTGCTTTGTTGGCAAGCAAGGAGGGTTCTTGATTGCTTACCCTCTCTGGTGGGTTTCTGTGTGTGACCTCGCTCTGAGCAGCCTCACAACACAGCACCACCGACCGTCATTTTGGCTGCGTGACAACCCCATTTCCGCTTTATTCCCCTGCCCCCCCCCACCACCACCAACAAGATGTCTCGCACCCCTGCGTGGGCGCGGTGGCGACCCGAGTATCTCAACTTTGAAGCCCACCACGCTTCCATCGTCACTAGCCAAGGAGGTATGGCCCACGTGGCGTGCTTGTCGTGTCTCGAGATCGGATTGGGTGTAAACATGCGTGCGTGTGTGTGTAAATGTGTGTCTGTGTGTAAATGTGTGTCTTTGTGTAAATGTGTGTCTGTGTATTTGTGAATGTGTATGGGGAGAGAGTCGGGGTGGGGCTGGCAGGGTGAATACACACACACACACACACATACACACACACACACACACACAACGAGCGCTCAAGCAAGCCAAGAGCGCGTGCACACACACACACACACACACACACACACACACACACACACACACACACACACACACCCTCCACGCAACCGCGCTCAAGCTTGCACGACATCAACTAACCGCATGCCTAAATTCCCCAGAGCACCCCGGAATCTTCATCATCAAGCCACCTTCCCTGTTCGTTATCAACCCCTCGGTGAGCTGTCGTCTCTGCTGCGCTTGCGTTTGTCGCGGCGATTTCGCGACATGCATCCATTACCACCATCCATCCATACATTGCGCATCTTTCGACCACTTACCCTGCCCCTCCCCCTCACGCGCGCTCTTCTTCCCTTCAACCTTCCGTCTTCCCAGACACAACAGCCGGTCTTTGTGGTCGACCTGGCCAGATGCACATGCAACGTCTCCGGCACCACGGAAACAATTCTCTTTGTACGTCGCACCAAACCTTTTCTTTGCGTCGCTTTGCTTTGTGGAGCGCGCGCACACACACACACACAAGAACACTCAAACACAAACAAACAAACAAACACACACACACACACACAAACACATACACATACACACACACTTGTATCATGTTCACAATCTCCGCTGGTTGTGCTGTTGGAGACCTGTTTGCTGGCACTTCATTGTGGGCGCGGATACCCCCCCCCCTTTGTGGTTCTCCTTACCAACCCCATCCTGTTCTCTTGCCGTCGCGCAGGTGAAGCTTGTGCACAGCCTGGCCACACACCCGACGTTCATGGAGAACGGCCGCATTCGCATCCGCTCAAAGTCACAGCCACACCGGTGCGTGAACGCCTACATGCCAGCTCGACCGTGGTTGGATGTGCTCTCCCATTCCCAACCGCAGGCATCAAATGGAACAGCCATACGTTTGGTTTCGCGCCTTGCCGCCTTGCCATGCTCACACTGCTGTTCATGACTGTTTGTGTCTTTCGCATGTTCAGGGACCACCTTGCTTCGGCCATCAACTCATCCCTCAAGGTACAAGGGCAGAGTTGTGTGTGTGTGTGTATGTGTGTGTGTGTGTGTGTGTTGGTGTGTATGTGAGAGAAAGAGAGAGCTTGTGAGACCTACACAAACACACACACACACACACCTTTGGATGGCGCCCGTTGATTGGTCTGCTTGACACCCCCCCCCCCTTCGTTCTCACCACTACCAACATCATCAACATCACCAACATCACCATCATCACCACCATCACCATCACCGCCACCCCCTGCAGCGAAGCAACGTTGGGATGCAGCTGCAGGGGACGACCGGGGAATCAACAACAGAGCAGGGCGGGTCGACACGCGTGCCCCACGTGGCCATCGACACCCTCACCGTTCGCCGCCTGGCAACAACAGCGTCGCAGGTCCGCGAGATTTGCGACCGCATCGGCCTCTTTGACAAAGTGCTGACTCAGGACCTCAACATTGCCCACAAGCTCGTGGCCACCGAACGCAAGCTGCTGCTTGGGCTCAAGGCGACACTGCTGGCACCCTCGCCAGAGGACGGCGAGTGCATCATGCAACTTCGCCTCATCACGCAATCTGTGCTGGGGCGCGCGCTGCCGTGGATGGAGTACGGCGAGACGCTGCTGCAGACGGCCATGCAGGCAAACGACTACAGTGCAGCAACCATGCGTGTCGTTGAGCGCCACCTCAACCGCGTGTCGTTCTTCTCCGAGATTCTGGCGTGGGTGACGCACGCACACGTCATCTTCACGCAGCCATCGACGAGCCAGGAGGCGGCCGAGATTGCCCTGCGCCTCTCCCAGGTGTTCCACATCCTCGCAGAGCGCCCGCGCACGCAGCCGCAGCTGACGACGCTCGTGGCCAGGCTCACCTGGGCGACAAAGGACATCTTGGGCATGGTAAATGTCGCCCACGTTGGCCGCGAGGTGGAGGGCGAGCTGCGTGACGCAATCCTGTCTGCTGTTCAGGCCGGCATGGCCGTCCAGGACGCCCTGTACAAGTTCATGCTCAGTCCGCCGTTTCCATTTGAGTTTGACGTGGTTGTTGCGCACTGCTACCGACTCGGCGCAGCGCTGCTTGAGATTCTGCACGCCGCCGCCGCCTCGGGGGAGTGGGAGTTTCTTGACTTTGGGTTGGCCATGCACGTTGACTGGGCACGCCTCGACCCCGCCACCCCATATGTGTCGCAGGTTGCACGCCAGCACTCCCAACACCAGCAGCAGCAGCGGCAGCACGCGACGCTGCGGCGTGACGGGCGCGGGGCGGCAGTGGCGGCAGGCGCACACACGCCGGCAGCACGTGCTCTTGGACAGCAGCACCTGCACCCCCAGGGCCAGCAGCAGCAGCAGCAGCAGCAAGGGGCGGGGCAGACGGCAACGATGATGAGCGGTGCAAGCATTGGCAGCGGGTACTTTGAGCAGGAGGAGGAGGACGGGGACGCAAACGTGGCGGGCTTGAAGGAGCTCTCTCTGCTGGAGGAAGAGGAAGATGACGACGACGACTATGAGGATGAGGCGCAGCTGTCGAAGCTGCTGACCAGCGGGGTGGAGGTTGATGCCCTGGACCAGGCCGTGATGAGCAACGAGCGGTACAGGGACATTGTCTCCAAGCAGCTGGACGAGGCAAAGCAGCGCTGCGACAAGGCCGTGGACGCTGCGAACAACGTCAGCAGGCTGTGTTTGCTTGACGTGCTGCGGAAGCTCATGTCTGCAAGCAACAAGCTCATCTGCGTGGACAGCCGCAACGCGTCATCTGTTGACACGTGGTCCAAGACTGTCAGCAGCTTTGTGCAGCGCATTCAGGTCAGTGGCCGTGTGCGTACATGTGCCTGTGATTTTGTGTGTGTGTGTGATTTTTTTTTGTGTGTGTGTGTGTGTGTGCCTGTGATTTTGTGTGTGTGTGTGTGTGTGTGTGTGTGTGTGTGTGTGTGTGTGTGTGTGTGTGTGTGCGTGCGCGTGTGTTGTTTTTGGTTTTTGCATTACGCTTCATGTCCACTCCCAACTGCACCTCCCCTCCCCCCTCTCCCTGGCTTGTGCCTCACCCTCCTTGCTCAAATCCTCCCCCCTTCCTTGTCAATGACCAATTGTTCCCCGTGCCGTGCGTGTGCAGACGATGACGGAGGAGGCCCGCCGCGTGTTCCGGGCGCAGCCGCGTGGCGCCTCGCTCACGGGCGATGCTGCCACCTCCCTGCTCACCAGCATCAAGGGCACCGTGGCCATTGGCACGCGCCTGCTGGCCGACCTCGACGCCATCCTCAAGAGCCAGACCGCTGCACAGGCGCGGCGTGACAGCGATGCGCGCAAGCACCCGCCAAAGCCCGCGGCAGCACCTGCGTCGCCGCCGTCTGCAGCCGTGATGGCTGAGCCCGGGTACATGTCCATGCGCATGGGGATGGGGCTGGAGGGCGAGGAGGACGAGTACGTGTACACGGACATCACCGCGCCGGCCGCTCGCGTGCAGGAGGCGGTGAGCGAGGACGAGGACGAGGACGGAGGTGCTGTGGGGCAGGGGGAGCGGAAGCGCGCAGGCAGCGTGTTTGACGGCGGTGAGGAGGATGTCATCTACCTGACGAAAGACTCCCTCAAGGAGCAGCAGAAGAAGGAGATGGCGGCAGATGCCACGCGCGTGCTGGCTGCGGCGTCACTCCCACAGATTGTGACGCGCATCACGCGCTCTGAGCGGTTTGACCCGAAGCTCATGTCAGCGGTGATCCTGACGTACCACTCGTTTACGACGGGGCGGGAGCTGCTTGACCTGCTCATCACGCGGTTTGAGGAATCCCTCGAGGGAAAGGTGGTGACGACGCCTGCCGAGGACCCTGTTGGCTTCCAGGTGCGCGCCCGCGTGCTGAACGCAATCAAGCGCTGGCTGATTGACAACGCGGACGACTTTCGTGACCGTGAGCTCCTCTCGCAGCTGCGGTCGTTCCTGCAGCGGCACCAGGGGCTGCACTCGTCCACGAAGAACATGCTTGAGATGGTGAAGCACATTGAGTCGTGCCGGCGGCAGAGCACGGCCAACATCTTCACGGATTCTGGCGCGCGTCGCATCCTCGGAGACATGGACGAGGACGAGGCGGAGGAGTGGGACGTAGTCATGCGTCCACGCTCGTCCATGTCCGTGTGCAAGCTGGACCTGTGTCAACTCGGGTACTGGGAGACGGCGGAGCAGCTGACGCTGTGGCACTGGAAGCTGTACGTGCAGCTGACGCCGCACGACCTGATTGGCAAGAAGGCGGAGAAGGCGCCTCGGAAGAAGCTGCTTGCCAAGCACGCCACTGTCGTCACGTTCTGGGTGATGGCGTCGATCCTGCGCGAGGCGGAGCGGCTGAAGCGTGTGCAGCGGCTCAAGTACATGGTGCGGCTGGCAGACACGCTGCTGTCGCTGGGCAACTTTGACCTCTTCTACGCGGTGTACCTGGGCATCTCCCACAGCTCCATCCGCCGGCTCAAGCAGACGTGGAAGCTGTTCCGGGACAAGCACCCGCGCTCGACCACGCTGTACGAGAAGCACGAGCAGCTGTGCGGCGACCTCCACTTTGGTCGTCTGCGGGCGCTGTTGCGGGAACGGCACCTGCAAGCAAAGCCGTGCATCCCGCCCATCCCCATGTACAACAACGACTTTCTCCGGCGGCAGAACGCGTTCAACGACACCATGGACAACAACGGGGTGAAGCTCATCAACCTGATGAAACGGATGAATCTTGTTGAAGCCATTGAGGAAATTCGCGCGTACCAGCGCCTCGAATACCGCCTCCCTGCAAAGGAAATCATCCAGGTCTGTTGTGCCGCGTGTTCGTGTTCTGAGTCGGATGTGGTGGTGGTGGTGTGTGTGTGTGTGTGTGTGTGTGTGATTGAGTGTGGTGCAGAAGGTGGGCTGCTGGCTGAGGTGTCATTTGTCGTGGATGGTTCCGTTGCTTTCCATGACGTTCCTCTCGTGTGTGATGCTCACCATGTGAGTGGCGTGTATTGTGTGTATTGTGTGTCCTTCGTCGTGTGCAGATGTATCTTGATACGCAGTTTGTGAAGCAAGTCTCGCTCTCGTCGCTCGAGGCATCGGACCGCTCACGTCAGATTGAGCCGCCGTCGTCTTGAGCGGCCCGCTCGCTCACTCGATGTTCGTCTGTGCGTGTGCGTGTGCGTGCGTCTGTGTCTGTGTCTGCGTGCGTGCGTGTGTCTGTGTCTGTGTGTGTGTCTGTGTGTACATGATGCAGTGTCGTGCCTTCCCTCTTGTCTCCTCGTCAGCATTTTGGTTGTTTGTTTCAGTGTGTTGCTTCTTCCACACTTCGCCTTCTCGCGCGTTGCCACTTGGTTGTTCAAGCCCTTCCCCTCAGCAATTGTTGCCGCATGCCGTTACATCACACGCAACCGCAACTTTCTCTCTGCCTCTCTCTCTCTCTCGTTATTCCTCGCCTTCAGGTTTCGTAGATCGATGTGTGTCTGTGTGTCTATGTGTCTGTCTTTTTGCAGCTGTGTGGCGTGTTTTCGCTTGCATTGTTTGGCGCCGCAAATTTGAAATGAAACTACACCAAGCTACGACTCTGCACCCACGCGTGTGCGCGCAGGCGAATGAAATGATGGCAGCAGTGAACATCCTGACATAACATAACATAAGGAACTGCGTCGGAAGAAAAAGCAGGCGGCTGTGCCCATCCCTGTCTGTCTTGCTGAGATGAGAAACCATCATCATCATGCATAATCATCATCGTCATCATGCATCCTGTTGCAGACGGTATCCTTTGCGCTTGGGGATGCAGGGAAGATCTGGAAAGCAGCAGCAGCAGCACAAGGCACGGGGCTGGTGTCAGACAGTTGCGGTGCATATTTGTGTATCGTGCGAGTGTGTATCAACAATCGTGTGCACACCATCACCAAAGCAACACCAACCTAGACAGTGGTTTGATTGCGTCTTCATGATCTCCGCAATGTCTTCGAGGCTGCGCCCGCGCGTCTCTGGCACCAGAACTGTGTGTGTGTGTGTGTGTGTGTGTGTGTGTGTGTGTGTGTGTGTGTGTGTGTGTGTGTGTGTGTGTGTGTGTGTGTGTGTGTGTGTGTGTGTGTGTGCGCGTGTGTGTATGATTTGAAAGCGTGGACACAAGGGAGCAGTGACAGCCCAGCGCATGCCATGCAAGAGCGCTCGCGCACACAGCTGTCATTGTTGCATACCGAGGACGAAGACGAAGGCAACGACGCCAATCACAGCATACATGAAGAAGGTGCCAGCAAACCCGACAGTATCTGAAAGGCAATACGAACACGGGAAAGGATTGGTGTCAAAGCAAAGCAAAGCACAGCTTATCAGGACCCCGCGCATGAGACTCTTGACACCACACGCACACACACACACACACGCACACACACACACACACAAATTACACACATTGCACACGCACGCATAAACACTCGCGCGCGCATCACATGACATGACATCACATCACATCACATGCGCCTGACCAAGCAAGCTGAGGAAGGAGAGGGAGACGATGAGGTTGCCGCCCCAGTTGAAGATGGTGGCGATGGAAACAGCGCGGCCGCGAAGGTCATCGGGAAAGATCTCACTCATCACCAGCCACGACACGGGGCCATAGCTGCCGACAGTGGTCAGAAGATGGGTGTGCGTGTGAACATGTGAGGTGTGTGTGTGCGTGTGTGCGTGTGTGTGTGTGTGTGTGTGAACATGTGAGGTGTGTGTGTGTGCGCGTGTGTGTGTGCGTGTGTGTGTGTGTTGTGCAGCTTCGTAGATGTGTGTCAGTTCTGGTCAAGCAGAACAACAAATGCAATAGATCTTGGCAACGCGGTCACGCACACACACACACATACACACACACAGACAGGTACAGGCACACGAGCACAACTTCATGCAGGGGCACCTGAAGGCGTAAGCGACGACGAAGAAGATCATGGAGACGAGCGAGGTCCATTTGACGGCGGCGGAGGAAAACACCCAATCGTCCTGCTTGTGGTGCGAAGATGACACGTGCGCGCGGCGGCGCCCGCGTAGATGTGTGGTGCCGTGTGCAGGCGAAGCGTTGCTGCTGCCTTCCGACGGGTCAGCAACAGCGGCCTGCCACCACGATGAGAGTGACGCGGGCGCTGGTGATATGCTGGCATGTGCACCGTGCTCCATTGTGGGCGGGGCGGGCGTTGTGTACGCCCACGCCGTCACAGCTCGTCGGTCACGATGCTGCGGCGCTGATGACGGTGCCCGCACAGCAGTCGTGGACGTGTTGCCTGCAGGCATCGTCGTCGTTGTCGTCGTTGGCAATTGCGTCACCGTGGTTGGTGCAATGGTGGTGGTGGTGGTGGTGGTTGTTGTTGTGTTGGGCATGGTGCTGTTGTTGGCACGGACGGGAGGGAATGCGGTGGTGACGGATGCAAGCACCACCAGGCTGACAATCATCAGGGCCGTGCCTGCAAGCAAGAGAGGACGCCGCCCCAAGCTGTCCACCTTGACCAGGGCGATGGCGGTTGCAATGACCTTCACGCCACCAATGACGAGGTTGGCAAGCGTTGCTTCCCGGTCTGTGTCGAAGCCCGCGGCCTTGAAGAGGGTGCTGCCGTAGTACAGGACGTTGGGCTGCCCCGTGAACTGCTGCAGGAGTGCAAGTCCGCACGCGATGAGGAGACAGCGACGCAGGCGGCGGTCCGTGAGCAACGACAGCAGCGACTGCGAGTCCTGCACACAATGATGATGCGGTGGAGGAGAAGGAGGAGAAGGAGGAGGAGGAGGAGGAGGAGGAGGTGGTGGTGGAGGAGGAGGAGGAGGAGGTGGTGGTGGTGGAGGAGGAGGAGGAGGAGGAGGAGGAGGAGGAGGAGGAGGGGAGGAGGAGGAGGAGGAGGAGGAGGAGGAGGAGGAGGAGGAGGAGGAGGAGGAGGAGGAGGTGGTGGTGGTGGTGGTGGTGGTGGTGGTGGTTGAGGAGGAGGAGGGGAAGGCAAACAAAAAAGTGAGTGAGTGAGTGAGTGAGCGAGCGAGTGAGTGAGTGAGTGAGTGAGTGAGTGAGTGAGTGAGTGAGTGAGTGAGTGAGTGAGAGCGTGAGAGGGTTGGTGTCAGCAGCATTGCAAGTCTTCCTCAGTGACTGCACCGAGCGGCCGACTCATCATAAACACACAGACGCACACACACACACACACACACATACATACACGTATTCATACACACACATACACAGGCAAGCATCTTCTTATCATAGGCAATTACCTGGGCCTTGAGGCTGCTTTCAATGGCGTGCATCTCGGCCTCGATGTTGCTAGTGTTTGGATTCCTCAGAAGAGCGAGTGACGCGCGTGCGGCCAGCGGCTGTTTCCGCAGCAGCAGCCAGCGTGGGCTCTTGGGCAGAAACAGCATCCCAATGCCCTGAATCACAGCTGGCACCATCGACAGCCCAAACATGTACCTGTCGCGTTGATGATTGGCAGGCCAGGGTTAGGGTTTGTTGGTGTGATTGGCAGGCTGAGTGCTTGAATGTGAGCATGAAGATAGAGAGAAGAGGGTGCGCCTACTTAGTCACACACACACACACACACACACACACACACACACACACACACACACACACACACACACACACACACACACACACACACACACGCACGCACACACACACACACATGCACACATGCACACACACACCGGTAAACGCACATGCAAGCATACACGATGTGTCCAAACACGCACATGCAAAAGCAAACGCACCGCCACCCGTCTGATGTTGAGATGAAGGCGTAGTTGACGAGATATGACACGAAGATGCCAATGGTGATGCCCATTTCGTTGACAGACACCAGCATCCCGCGCTTCTCCGCAGGCGCAATCTCGGATATGTAGATCACCTGGAGCACCAGCACGAGTGAGCGTGCGTGGTTGCATGCGAGGATATAATGTTCGTGTGTGTGTGAGTGAGTGCGTACGTATGCATACATGTATGTGTGTGTTACATGTGTGTGTGTGGTATTTTTTTTTGTTTGTGTGTGTGTGTGTGTTTTACACGTGTGTGTGTGTGTGTGTTTTACACGTGTGTACGTGTGACATGTATGACCGTGACGCACCTCTGACGTGGCGGAGAGGGAAACAGCAAACCCCACGACGATGCGGCCGATCAAGAGGACGGCAAGGTTTGGCGCGAGTGTCATGAACACCGCACCAACAAGAAATATTACCTGAAACACGGCACAAGCGTGCGCATGTGTGTACGTGGGTGTACCCATGGTGTGGTCAGGAGGGTGAGAGTGAGTCGACAAGCACCTGTGTGCGTGTGTTGTGTGAATGTGCCGGTCTGTCACAGAGAGAGAGAGAGAGAGAGAGAGAGAGAGAGAGAGAGAGAGAGAGAGAGAGAGAGAGAGAGAGAGAGAGACACACACACAGACACACACACGCACACACACACACACTCACTCACTCTCTGTTTTGTGAGACACAACACAAGCGGGCTTGTCAGGCCACAGCCACAGCCACAATCACAGCTGTGGACATAAACACGCACGCACCGAGTTGCCAATGATGGCGTTTCGGCGCCCAAAGTAGTCCACAATGTGGCCACCAGCCATGGAGGCAATCATGGCACCCAGCAGCATCAGGCTGACAACCAGCTCCTGTCGGAAAGAGACGAGAAGGAGAAGAGGGTGTCAACACAACAGTATAGCATGTTGGTGTGCATGTGGCAAGGTGGGATGGATGTTGGGGTGATTGCTGGTCGACCACGTGCATTGGAATCGCTCGTGTTGATTGCGTTTGTTGCTGTTATTTGTTGTGCCCCACCTTCTGAACATCTGTGAGGTCAAACTTTTCCTCAAGCTGCAAGAGGGCACCGCTGATCACGCCAACATCATATCTGACATTGTAGAGCGAGAGGGAGAGAGCGCGCGCGCGTGTTCAACGACAGGGTGAGCAAGGTGGCGTGCAACATCCAATGTTACCCTTGCTTTGGGCGATGTTGTGTGTGTGTGGTTTGGTTGAGTGTAGTGTAGTTGAGTGTAGTGTAGAGTAGAGTAGTGTAGTGTAGTTGAGTGTAGTGTAGAGTCGTGTTCGTGTATTTTCAGATCTGTGTGTGTGTGTGTGCGTGCGTGCGTGCGTGCGTGCAAGACTCGGTGTGGAACACAAGGTTGTGCTCACCCAAACAGGAAACCGCCCAAGCCAGCGAGGACCGCGGCAACAAGCACGAGCCTCTGGGCCTTGCTTGTCTTTCTCCTTTGAAGGAGACTTGTGGAGAAGGTGGATGACGGGGATGGGGACAAGGAGGCTGTGAGGGGGTCCTCGATTGAAAATGTGTTGTTGAGGCTGCGGCCTGTTGAGGGCGCTGCACCGTGCTGTTTGACAAAACCATCAGCCACACCTTCCCCACTCTCGCCACTGCTTATGTCACCACCACCATCACCACCATCACCACCACCATCACCACCACCATCACCATGCACTTCCCGCCCAGCAGCGACCATGCTGCTGCCGCCGTCGTCGTCATCGTCGCTGGCCACTCTGCTGCTGGCCAGCACGTACACACCGCCACCTTCCCTGCCGCTCATCACCGTCCTCCCAGTTGCCGAAAATTGGTAATATGTTCAGTAAATTCTCCACAATCATACGATCCCCGTTCGTATTTTTGGTGGCGGCTGCTGCGGCAAACACAAACACACACGCATCTGCCACACCTCCTCCCTGCGCCTCGTCCGGAAACCAACGCGAACCTCACTTGCTGAAAGGGAGACAGAGGGTTGCGCTTGTGTGGGTTGTGTGTGGCAGAGAGGCAAGGATGGACAGTGCCACGGTGGAGAAGTGGCAGACAAAGGCGGTGGAGGAAGGCTTGCTCAACGCCGTCGATCCCACTCTCTTGTATGAGCCGCTGGAGCCAATCGGACATGGCGCGACTGCAGACATTGTCAAGGTCAGAAGGGAGAGAGAGAGAGAGAGGGAGGGGTTGTATGTATGTGTGGGGCGGGGGATTGTATGTGTGTGTGGTGGGTGTGTGTGTGTGTGTATGTGTGAGTGTTTTGCTTGCTCCTGGCTACGCCTGCACCTGGTGTGCAAGTGGATGCGCCTCCTCTTGTCTGTGCTACGAAGACGCTTTGTGCCTTGCGTGCTGGATGACACTTAAGTACGTGTCATGTCTTGCCCCAACTACAGGCGATTGATCGGGAGAAAGGGAGCGTAGTCGCCATCAAGAAGTTCAAGACCAAGTTCAAGAGCGAGGATGATTGGAAGGACATTGTGAAGGAAATCAGATTTCTCAAGAAATGTGAATCGCCGTACCTCGTCAAGTTCCACGACAGCTTTCTCCACGTATGTGTTCGTGTTCGTGTGCGTGTGTGTGTGTGTGTGTGTGTGTGTGTGTGTGTGTGTGTGTGTGTGCGTGCGTGCGTGTGTGTGTGTGTGTGTGTGTGTGTGTGTGTGCTTGTGTTTCATCTTGTGTGCATTTATTGAACAGGCGATGCCAGCTCCAAGTGTCATGCTGCACTGTGGCTTTTGTTGTGCTTTCAATCCTAACGCGCTGTACACACATGCTGTCGTGAATCTGCCACAGGGGAAGCAAGTGTGGATCGTCATGGACTACTGTCTTGGATCGTGCTTCGACATTATGGAGGTGTTCAAGAAGCCGTTCGCAGAGGCGGAGATCAAGGCTGTCTGCTGGGGCATCCTTAAGGTACGTCAAACATCACGTGTATGTGTGTACGTGTGTGTGTGTGTGTACGTGTGGATATGTGTACGTGTGGACATGTGGACGTGTGGACGTGTGGACGTGGACGTGTGCGTGTGTACGTGTGAATGCAGAGAACTATGCCAAGACAGAGCAAAGCTGTCACCATCCCCTCACATGTCACCACAATTGCTTGCACTGCTGTGTTTGATGCTGTGAAGGCACTTGAGTATCTTCACGGAAACCAGAAACTGCATCGTGACATCAAAGCGCGCAACATTCTCCTCGCAGACAGCGCTGAGGTGCTCAAGTTGTGTGTGGTTGTTTGTGGATGGTTGTATGGATGGTTGTGTGTGTGTGTGTGTGTGTGTGTGTGTGTGTGTGTACGGATGTGTTTGTATGGATGTGTACAAGCGTGTCCCTGACGCGTTGGCTCCGATGTGTGTGTATGTGTGTGTTGGATGTTTTCAGGTAAAGCTGTGTGACTTTGGCGCCTCTGCGGACGTTGCCAACACCGAGGGCCGTGCAAACACATTCATCGGCTCTCCGTATTGGCTCGCACCAGGTGTGCACATGCACTCGTGCTCGCTTTTGCGTGCGTGTGTGTGTTGTGTGCGTGTGTGTGCGTGCGTGTGCGTGCGTGTGTGTGTTGACAATGCACTGTCGTTGCCAGAACAGTGGCGCTGCCAGCTGTACGACGCTCCCCTCACCTTGTACGCGTTTGCCACAACTGTGGTTGCGAGCAGAAGTGATATTGGCGATGGAAACAGGAACATATTCGTACCCGGCCGACGTCTGGTCCCTCGGCATCACACTCATCGGTCAGACGCACGCATGTACATGCAACCACACACGTAGACAAACACGTACCTTTTCTCCCTTTTCCTTGCTGTCGGCTGCTGTGCTGTGGAGCAGCTGCTGGGTGTCTCTGTTTCTCTTTCCTCACCCGTTTCATCCCCATGTGTATGTGTGTGTGTGTGTGTGTGTGTGTGTGTGTGTGTGTGTGTGTGTGTGTGTGTGTGTGTGTGTGTGTGCGTGCGTGTGTGTGTGTGTGTGCAGAGTTGGCGGAGACGAAGCCGCCGCTCTTCCACCTTCAGACGATGAGTGCGCTATTCCGCATCCCAAACAACCCCTCGCCCGAGCTGTCAACAACGGGGTGGTCATCGCACTTCAAGTCGTTCCTGGCGCGCTGCCTCGACAAGGACCCGGACAACCGCGCCACTGTCGCTGAGCTCATTCAGGTGTGGCGGTGGGGCGATGATGGTTGTTGTTGTTGTTGTTGTTATTGTTGTTGTTATTGTTGTTGTTGTTGTTGTTGTTGTTGTTATTGTTATTGTTGTTGTTGTTGTTATTGTTGTTGTTATTGTTGTTATTGTTGTTGTTGTTGTTGTTGTTGTTGTTGTTGTTGTTGTTTAAGTTGTTGTTGTTTAAGTTGTTGTTGTTGTTTAAGTTGTTGTTGTTGTGTTGTTGATAAAGATGTTACACACACACACACAAGCTGTTGTGCTAACAGTTGTGTGTTGACAGAACAGCTGCTATCGGCCACAGTTGTGGATGGGCGTGACTGAGAATAGTATTATGCAGCCTCGCTGTCAGTGAACCGCACAGACATGAGAGATAGGGGGAAAAGGACATCAACGCACCATCACAGTCAATGTATGTGTGGCTGTGTGTGTGAAAGGGTGTAGTCTGTCTGTGCCTGTGTTTGTTGTCCACACAGGATGGGCTTTTTCTCATCATGTTCCCACTTTCACCGCCTCACCAGTGACAT